GTATACGATTTATATAGAATACAAGTACTGTATACAGTTTTATTGCTACTAGACATTCCTGCTTTTCTCTGTACAATCCTAAGGTAGAAAGTGAACTTCTTGACCCATGTCAGTAGCGCATGCAACAAGGCAATACGAGCTTTTAAATTCTGTGATACCTGGAAATAATAAGGATGCTATTATACTTTTTGTGAACACCAAAATATCCCTCTCCTGTCCTTCAGGCCACTGCAACAAGCATTATCTTGATGCAAGCTGTAACTCCAGCACCTGTCAACCACAGAAAATTACAACCATTACAGGATCAGTTATGTCGGGACCCTTTAGCTGCTGCGAGCAGTCTGCGTATGAAGGAACCTGTGACGTTGGAAAGAGGGCGGCTTGCCAGCTTCGCTACACCTTAAGGGCTTTGTTTCCATTATTAGACAAGAAATAGACTGAAGAGATAATGTGTGTGGGGAATGATTAGAGGTGGGGTTTTTTTTTGTATGTGGGTTGGCATGTTTTCCATCTGAAGCAGGAAGTTGTAAGGGTAGGTTTTAAAAATATGACTTGCATGACCAGATAAAGAATTTCAACACGTCAAGCTGAAAAACTATTGCCACTTATACCTCACATAGATGATAATCAAATGCAAACTTTGAATTCCAGCTGACAGGCATTTGACCGTAAGTACCATATTTTCCGGCATATAAGTCACAGTTTGTTGCATAAATTTGCAGGTCCTGCGACTTGTATACAATTTTTTTTTCCATACTCACAACGCAATTTTTGACTGACGCTTAAAATGTTAATTCATTCTGACATGAACCAGAGTAATCATTACCATTTGCAGCCACTAGAGGCGTGAGAAAGCTCCGTGGTGGTGCGCCATCCATCCATCCATCCATCCACCTGTTCATGGCGGCTCCGGCTGTGAGCTCTACAGAGTTCTCCACTGCCGGAGCGGGGAGGAAGGGGGCAGCGAGGCGTATGAGCCGCAATGGAAGGATGAATGGCACCACCCAGATGAAATGAAGTTGTTTTGACCATTAAATAAATGCATAATAAACATGACGGGTCAGCGGCGACTCATAATAAATGCGACTTTTACGCCGGGAAATACGGTAAATGTGCTTTCTGCAGTTGTGAGTGTATTAGCTTGGAGGAAGACAATAATGCATTGTACTAATGTTCCTTTCAGTGGGAATCTGTTTAGGTCGTCTTAATATTTGTTTGGAATACAAACTGAATCAGAATGTAGAAACTGTGCTTTTTATGCCCTGGATTGATGTTTATGTATCGGAGTAAAAGTGAAAATGTGTTGACTGTACTTATAAGTAACATCACAGATTCACTGTGCTGAACAGGTTGATAACTTTCACTTTATTTTGCTGCCTTGATTACCAGTTGAACAGTTTCATTTAGACAATGCAAGAGCCACATTGCAATTAGTGGCCAAGCCTTTTCTGCTCAGAAATAATATCTTAATTTAATTTGTCAAATTCTACTGAACTGCCAACCAGACACTATTATGATCGCTGAAGTTCAGACTTGTGCTCTGCCGAAAACACATTCGGTATGTATTTCAAAACCACAAAGACGGGTAATTTAGACATGACACAACGATCGGATGTAGATGTTGCACAGCCTGTAGCAAAGCCAGATAAACCCCGGATTGTCAAACTTAGCCCAAGACGCTCTGTTCTTCCTGAGCACCCACATTCAACTAAACCACAACCATTAATCACAAAATACATCATGTACATCATATACAAATACACACAAACTGTCAGATAAGCCCAGTGAGCCCTTAGGAGGCACTCGCGTCTCCTCGGGTGCTGTAAACGGCCCAAATTTGGACAAGGATTCCAGCCAGATAGTCGTGTGCCCTGAACGTGAGGCCGGCGTGCATTCGTGTGTATCTGTTCCTCTTTTGACGCTTTTGTTGTCCTAGCAACCTGGGGAAAGAGGGAGACTGCACAGTCAGTGTTCATTTATGGGTTTGTTTTATATTAAAGTTGAAATTATGTCAGATTTCATGTGTTTACCGTCTTGATTCCAGTGATTTGTTTCAAAAAGAGTTGAAATGATAGCTGCAGGACAGGTACACCAGAGAGAGTTGATTTTTATCTGAAATTCTAGGACATTATGACCACTGCAGTTCAGCTCACCTTATACATGTTTGACATGATAAAATCTTTTGGCGTCAAGGATTTTGTGTACCGAGCACTGCAGGCTTTTCACCTCCCTGTTGGGTTCTTGGTCATTTTCTCCCTCACAGGCATGGTGGTAAACAAAGCTTCTGTTCTCCTCATACTTTTGACTTTTATGTAATTTCTATCTCTTATTACTTTGAGTTGACAAATTGAAACATATAATCTAAGTCTGTAATTTCAGAGCTTGTTACTTCAAAATAACCATTATCCCTTTTTTTTTTTTTTTTCTATTTAAACGCAGCTGCAGCCCAGATGTTTTACTATTGTCCAAATGTTGGGTCTTGTGTTAAGTGACATTTGCAGAAGACATTGGATCATGATGCAATTTGTTAAAAAATGTTGCAAATTCAGACTTCCTAATGTGTGGGGGTTACTGCATTTAGTTTTTATTTTTTTAATGCACATTAGATCAGAAAGGAGGGCCTAAAAGGTGTTGAAATGATCTTCAAATTGTCTCTATTTAAGGAGGCTACAAATTTAAAAATGGGTCAGGAGCAAAATGGCATAGAAAGCAATCAATGAGCATAAAAATATAAACTAGAAAGTTCCTGGAGAAACTTTGACGGGGACTGCTAGGCTGCTACCGATTTTAAATTGTTGATTTGACAGTACTATGTGTTGGCGTTTGCTCTCAGCTACTAACACTATACCAAATTACAGCCGAATAGCTAAAAAAAAAAAATGGCAGAGTTATCATATTTTTTCATTTTTAGCTAAGGTGGCCATCTTGGATTTTTTATTTTAATTCAGCATGTGATGAGGATCATTCTCCGCTACCACTATACCAAATTTCAGCTGAATCGCTCTAAAAATGACAGTTATTGTATTTTTTCTGTTTTAGCAAAGGCGGGCATACTGGATATTTGATTTCCTTTAAGAATGTATAACTCACTTTCAACTACAACCATACTAAATTTCAGCTCAATATCTCAAAGAATGCCTGAGTTATAGTCAATTTTGTGTTTGAGGTAGCTGTGGCAGCCATCTTGAATCAAAATGGCTCCAAACGTTAATCAGTTCTACATTCTGATTACTTTCTGAGTTTTAAACCAATCCAGCAGTGAGTTTCTGTTTTCTTCAGGGACCTCTACACTCTAAGTCAGGGGACTTGACAGCAGCAGTTCGTGTGAGGAGAGTTCTCTCATTGATTTTCTATGGGAAAGTATGACATCTCTGTTAGCAAAATACATCGCCATGGTAACTGCGATTGCCAATAAAAGTAATAGTTCTCATATCAAGATTGAGTCAGTCGTTTTTATATAACTTTTGTGGGGGTACACGTTGCGGTTCGGGCCGCATTAACGGTGATGGAACAAAAATAAAGAAATAAAAATAAAGAAACTCTTATTAGGTGAAGAATAATATGTGCCTTCCATGCACTGCCTTCACAAGGCAATACACTGCTCTCCTGTACATTGCAATGGCAGTCCCCAAATATGTTGATTTTTCCCTCAACTTTTGTGTATCACTTACCTGACCTTTTTAAGTTTTGACAAAATGTCAAGTTGAAGCTCAACAACTTGGCATAAAATAATCATCATAATGTAGATGAACTTTAACGGCCTCCCACTTTATGTTTAAAGAATCTCTAAATAGAACTCATCACCTCCCAAACAAGTATCACTTTTGTTTTCATTGTCACTCATGGTGCAGCTTGGTTTCTTGTAACAACGATGCCATTATGGCTGTTATAATCAGGAAATTGTAGATGACCTTTCTTATACAGATAACTTAGTTTTGTCCTTACATCTTCCCATATCAAAAATTTGGAATAACCCGACGAATGGGTGGTTATGACAACAAACACGGGAATGTGCAACTTTAGCTGTTTTGCTTCATGTTGCTATTAAACAGCAGTAGTAGAATCTGGGGGCATCCTAACATTTAGTTGAAAAATGGATTTTATGATAAGAAATGCTATTTTGCTGATATTTTCCAAAATGTTTTTGTTTTTATAAGCGATAAGTAATCATACAACATGATTAGACAATACTAGCTGCGTGGTTGCATCACCTTTGTAAAGAAAATGATAGGGATCTTTGTTGAACAGCTCTTAACCCATGAATGAATGGAATTCCTCACAAGACAGATTCCTGTCTGTGCTCCTGGTCGAGTTTATTTCATTCAAGGATAAGTCAAACGTGCTTTTCATTTTATTGTGAGCGTGGAGCGATACTTGTTTGGTTTGACTTTAAACTCGAGCTTATGATCATCTGCTCTGCTCTAAAGTTGTCTTAAGTTGAAAGGTTTGTGTACGATGATACAATGATATCACCATATTTAAGTCTAACTTTGATTTGGACCAAGTGAATGGTTCATTCCTTCAAAAGTACTTTAGTAAAAAGTAACACAACCTTAACAATTATAATAATATGATCAAGAACATGTATTTAGAGTAAAAATTGGTTTACTTAAATTCTTAACCAGCTGCTCAGGGAAAATAAATAAGTAAATGGTATTGTTAGTTTATCACACAATGTGCAAAGCTGACCTTTTAGATGAAGTACTTCAGAAAGCCCCCCCCCCCCCCCTCCTCCACACTCATAAACTAGCAGGATATAAACACAGTACATCCGTGGCTCTATCAGTAACATTATGCAATGTGGTATTTCAAGCAGCCCTGCTATGTGCAGGCATTTCGAAATGCTCCAGCTGCCTAAATTCCCCAGGAGTTCTGGATACACTTGGCAACTTAAGCTCACATGCATGCGTGCGGTGACATTCATGCACTGAGATAAACATACCGACACACAAGACGTTAGTGCTTTGATTCTTCTTCTCACCCTGAGTTTTGTCTTTCAGGCATGCATAGATGACAACGTTGACATGGTGACGTTCCTGGTGGAGCATGGAGCCAACATCAACCAGCCTGACAACGAGGGCTGGATCCCCCTCCACGCCGCAGCTTCCTGTGGATACCTAGACATAGCAGAGTAAGTTTCTAAGAAGCAGGATTGGCGTCTTCAGATTTGATTGTCCCGTTCCGTACATACTCTGACATTTCTCGCAATTGCCACACAATTCATTTAACACTTTAATGCTTTACTTTAGGCTGTAGCTGAGTGGTTAGAGCAGTCGTCCTCCAATGCGAGCGTTGGGGTGTTCGATTCCACCAGCACTCACATGCCCAAGTGTCCCTGGGCAAGACACTGAACCCCTCATTGCCTCCGATGTGTGTCCCATCAGATGTGATAAAGCTCTGATTAGTCTTTGTAAAGATGGAGTAGAGTGCTGTATGAATGGGTAAATGAGCGCACAGATTGTGTTGTAAAACGCTTTGAGTATCTTGATAAGATAGAAAGGCGCTATACAAGTACAGTCCATTTAATGCTTGCACAAAAATATAGGACCAGTAAGGCCAGTCAACTTGTTTTAAAGCCAGTCTTGGGAAATCCCCAAATAAATGTACAGTGTGCAGTTTGTAGTCTATTTTCCAAACAAGGTTGCTTCAGTCCAGCATTACACATATAAGCAACATATGCAAAAACAAAATGATGTGTAAAAATCTATTTTTTTACTGCTAAATGTTTATTTTTGTAAGATCATCTACCTCTTATCATTCCTTATCCTAATGAGGTTTTAATGTTATGTTTTAATAATCAACTTTCTCCGTCATGTTCCAATAGCCTCAGTAGGTTAAATATCTGAGCAGTTCGTGTGTTTCTTGAACCTCAATTTTCCAAGATCAGCGTGATATATCATGGCATTGTGTTCCCATGTGAGATCGTCCTTTAAACAATCATCTCACAAGGCTGTTGAAGGAGTGAGAACTTCCTCACTGCATCAGTTTGGGTTAAACAGCTGAAACCTAATGACTATTGCAAGATTTTCTAATGAGAGGTTCCTACATTTGGTTAATAAAACCCAGGGGCTCACTCGTTTTATTGGCTAAGCATTAATTTCAAATGTTTTATGTTAAAATTCTAATCTTTAACATTTTAGCCTATCTTATAGCTCAGACACTCATGGTCAGAATTATTTTTATCAAGACTGGAGACTGGAGTTGAACTCACAAATTTTACTTTCCCTTGGTCAAGTAAGAAGATGGCTCATAGGCATAAAACACAACACAGAGATGTTATCAGAAGACATTTAAAACTCACTGAAGGGGCTAAAATGACTCGGTTGGACTCATTGTTCAGCGTAGTGGGAGGGTGTGCTGACCTGCTTTACTTGTGTTACATTACAGGAACTTGGCTCGAGGTTTATACACTTTTGTTTTCCTAAAATCTACTACCAGCTGAGGAGAAATAAACATTCTGCCAGGAAATTAGTCTGTAATTTCATACTCTCTTGGTTCGATATCAAAATGGGGAATTGACATGCGTTTACTGTTTTACGTGTTCGTGCTTTTTTTTTCTCAGATTGGAGAAGTCTGAGTTGACCTCAGGAGCACGGCATCAGTGAAGGGCCAGTATCACAGAAAACAAGAAGTCATTTGTTTGATCATTTTTGAAAATGTCAAGTGGCTGTGCTGATACGAGTGACTAATGGAGACATTTCATTTCGCTGAGAGAAACTCAGAAACCCAATGTGGGCCGAGAGTTCACTGTAAACCCATTTTATTTCCAAGCTTCTCATTCACAATACCAAGAACGGCCGAACAGTGCTGAATCTGTTTTCCCCGGGTGTCACCAACTTTTTGCAGGCTTGGTTAAAAAGCCCACGGTGGGACTACAAACCACAAAGCCATCAAACTGAGTTAAGCCAAACAAAACGGTAAAAAAAAAAAAAGGCAGAATAGAAAGTCTAATTAAAAGAAATACAGAACGTTGTGATGTAATTGTAGTCAGAGAGTTGCCATTTGGGTGGAAGTCAAAAGTACTGAGTGCGTTTCAAGTGGGTGGTTGGTCTAATGAGGAGAGGCTGAGTCCCACCGCAGTTTTAATTGGAGGCAGCTGAACTCAGGATGCTTAAGGTTTTAAATGTTTTCAATAACTGCAGGGGTTAAATCACAAAATGGCTATGAATATTCTTTACAATAAACCAAATACAAAAAGGGCATTTACAATATTTTACTAAGGTCAGTGCAGATGAAGTTGATTCAACATTTATAAAAATCACAATCCTTGCAATAAATTGTTTCCTGAAAACGCATTTTGTTTAGTTTTCGTGTATACAATGGTACACAATGATTTGATTTTTGTCTTTGTTTGAACAAATTGACCGTTTCCACTGCCTGAAGCAGAATCCTAACTTCAGGAGGGGGTGGGCAATATATTAGATTGTGAAGGATTAGAACGTGTTGGAACATTCAGTCCTGAATATGTTAACATACTTGTTAAATGTCTATTGTTCTTGGCAACATTGCACAATTTTATTAATCTGTTAAGACCTATTATCTGGTCTAACTGCACTGTTGTATTTTTTTTTCCTTCTAGGGTTATTTTAATAGTTTGGACGCAACATTAATAACTTGCAAAATAAAGAATCAGTAGTTAAAAGTCTAATCTGTGACAGATTTTTGTTCCCCTAACTTTAGGCTAAGCTTTTTGTTTTTGATCGATTTAAATAAAATCACCTTCTTTCACAGGTTTTGTAGTCATATATAATTTTATTTTATTTGATAAATGCATATAATTTGATCTAGAAGTAGTTGGACTGTTTGACTCTCAAGTCAGTAGCATCAACCATGGTTAACACAAAACCAAAAACATTTGACACAGGTTGGCACGGTGGCGCAGCTAGTAGAGCTGCCACCTCTTAGCGAGAAGGTCGCCGGTTCAGATCCCAGCCTGGGACTTTTCTGGGTGGAGTTTGCATGTTCTCTCCGTGCATGCGTGGGTTTTCTCCGGGTACTCCGGTTTCCTCCCACATACTAAAAACATGCATGTAAGAGTGATTGGTAACTCTAAATTGTAGGTGTGAGTGAGAGAGTGAATGGTTGTTTGTCTCGTTTGTCTCTGTGTCCTGGTGATGGACTGGAGACCTGTCCAGGGTGTCCCCCACCACTCGCACAGTGACTGTTGGATATGGGCACCAGTGACCCCATGACCTGAAAAGGAAGTATGTAAAGATAATGAATGGATGGATGTGCAGTAGTCCCTCATTTATCATGGGGGTTTCATACCCTGGCCCCCCCCACAATAATTGAAAAACCGTGAAGTAGGGATACATTGGTTCAAGTACAGTAAACTTTGTCATTACCATCTCATGTGGTACATGAGATGGATTGAAACTATGTACATAAGTAGTAGTTTATTTTAGTATTTATATACAAGTATATATTGGCGTTTAAAACCCTTCCCACACTCTTGCAATGTTCCTAACAATTTTCTAAACTCTTTAACCTTTTTAAAAAATATTTATTTGAAATGGATACTCGCCAGAGAAGATGAAACTGAGATGAAGAAGTAGCTGTCCAGTGATGACGATGAAGTTGATGAAGATGAAACCAGGCACTTTGGCTTCGTCCTTCATAAGAAAAGTGTGAGATGGCATCCTTTTCCAGGACAGGCCCGTTTCGTCCATGTTAAAACCTTGTTCAGACCTGTAGACCCCTCAGTGATCAGATCTTTGAACATTAACACACTCCTCCACTCCTGCTGTATCAGCGGACGCAGCCTCTCCGTGCAGAGAAACACTTTTTAATCCAAATCGTTGTTGAAATTTGTCGGAACAACCCCTTGCTGGCACTAAATGCAGTGGTTCGGTGGTTGAACCAGGTGGTCGAAAGGTCCAGCTTCAAGTTACTCATTTACATCACCATGTCTCTTCCTCCATGGTGAATATGATCATACAGTAAAGTTGTTTCACCTTTGGTGTTGTATCCAAAGTGATGTTTTTTGTTCTGCAATCATTAATCCACAAGACCAATGCAACTTTCATCTTAACACACGAGTTCTGTACAGTGAAATTACTGTACAGTCCACAACCGTGTGTTTAAAAAGTTGTGCAATATTCTGGACGTCCTCAAACCGTGATAGAGCGGGTCCGCGAAAGTCGAACCGTGAAGTAGCGAAGGACGACTGTACAACACATCCTTTCTTTTAACGGTTTCCTTTTATAAGGAAGTAACGTTTCCACTAACCCGGTTTACTTTTCACTATCAAATGCTACCGTTCAAATGCTGAAACCCATGATGTGTACCCCTCTAAGAATATAAAATATATATATATTTGACATTGTTAATGTTCTATTGCTGCTTGCGTCATGGCTTTGTTCTTCTTTTCATCGCAGGTACCTGATCAGTCAGGGGGCTAATGTCGGAGTTGTAAACAGCGAGGGTGAGACTCCTCTGGACATTACTGAAGAGGAGGCGATGGAGGAGCTTCTGCAAAATGAGATCAACCGACAAGGTACAGTGTTAAATCTCCAACTTTCCTGTGGTGCTCGTGACAATCTTCACCAGGAAAACTGCTGGAGACAAATCGATACTGCGATTTAAAAAAAATTATATGAACATTTTTCTGTCAAACCTTTTCATGCCTTTAATCAATCATTTATCCGAATCTTAATGGCACGCCTAAAGCAACATAACTGGTGTGGCCCCATTTGTATTTTCTGAGCTGCTTTTCAAATAAGGACTGGAAAGTCTATGTGTCAGCCACTTGCTGGTTTTTGCTTGCTTTATATAACCTTACATAATATAAAAAAAGCAATCCTGCTGTGTTTGGAGATCTCATGTGATGAAACTTGTTCTTACTATTTTTGTCCAGGCAATCTCGGTGACTGGCCCTCTCTTGTGGTGAGAGGCGCAGATGTGTTAACTGGCCCCGGGCCAGAGGGGGTGCTCCTCGGTTCATACTGACTCAGAAAGGGGCCTTTGCTTTTCTTTAGAAGTTTTGCTTAGGCAAAATCAGGCTGTCTACTTTTTAAAGTATGTGGTATAATAATTTTATCTTACAGGCCTACATTGACCATTAATATAGTTTTGAAACAAATACCACCTTTTATAGGCAGTGTATATACTGTTTGTGTCGTTACGTTTTAATGAGGTCCAAATGTTACCATATATATATTTCAATGAAAAGCGCTTTTTTCCTGTCATGCTCCGTGATCTTATGTACTGGTGGCGTTTGCACCCTCCCAAACCTCAGGCATGTCAACCAGCAGCCGCTGTCAGAATTAATTTGATGACAGCCCATCGACGCTCTGCCTGGTTCATCCTCACACGCCCCTGCTTTCACTTCCATCTTTAACCAATGCGCACTCCAACTAGAAAAATGTGAATGCCGAGTGATGAATGATTATTTGCTGAGTAAGCTAAATTGATCGCTTGTAAAGTTAAAAGAAACGAAACGCTAAATGTTAAACATAAGAAGCAAAATGCTAGCTAAATGCTAGCTTAAAGCAAAAGTGGAAAAGAGCTAACCAAAAGTTGAAGCTAAGTGACAAAAGGCTAGCTATAAGCTAAAAGTAGCACAATAACCGCAAATATGATAAAACAGGTTTGCAAAGGAAATGAAGAGAGCTCAGTATTTATTAGAGATGCACGATCCGATACAGGTATCGGCCCTGATATCGGGAAAAAAACTTCTGGATCGGGTATTGGTGACAATGTGACCAATCCATGACTGGGCAGATCTATTCACTCTAATTCTACGCTTTGTGCTCTGAGTGACGTCACGAGCTAGCGAACTCCCCGCACAGATTGTTTTCAAAATGGAGCGAGCGAAAGGATCAGCCATCTGGAACTATTTCGCACTACCTCAGCTAACACATTGGACAGCTACGTGCAATACGTGCACAGCGACGGTTCCAGGGGGTGTCACTAAAACTTCCAGTTATAACACAACCAACTTCATCAAGCATCTCCAGAGATTTCACCCTAAAGAGCACACCGAGTTTGTTGAACGGACTTCAGCACCGTTTTTCTGCATCAGGTCGGCATCGAATCGGTATCGGAAGTGGAAAAAGTGGATCGTTGCATCCCTAGTATTTAGATAAATTCTTAATAAAGTTCACTATTTTAAAAAAGTATAAAGGTAATAAAAACAAAATTCATAGCAGTCATCTTGTGAATGAGCTGCTCGTTTTGATAATCAGTGAAATAAAATGGCAGAAGTAGTTGGATTGCATAAAACGCACGGAACTTATAAAAACCAGGGAAACAATGAGCCAGATTACTGAATGTGTTTGAGCTTTTTCTATTAATACAGAATTGTAAGAGCAGCTTTTATGATGAAGCTCCCCTGCAGAGTGAGTTTGCTGTCATTGTGGCCCGAGGGCAGCTGATCATTTCTTCATGTCACAGAGGTGGTAGTAGTAGGCAGCGTTATGCAACCAGCTGTTGTGTAACGCTTCTGTACGTTTTGCGGTTCGATTTTTCTCCCCTCTGAGCTAAAACACTCGGTTAAACTTGTTAGGAAGTGGCCAACTGAACTGAGGCTGACGAAAGGATCTGCTGTTCCAGTTTGACATTCTGTAAAGTGACTGGAGAGGCTGGTCTCTGACAAACTGGATGTTTTAGTTATACTGAAGGTGGAGGGTTTTGTTGATCTGCATTGACATTTTTAATGTGATTTATACTCTGTGCTTTGAACACAGTAAAAAAAATAAGTGAGTTGTGCAGCAGTGACTTCCAGCCAGGTGTCATCTTAACAATACAAGCCCGTTTCCACCGTTTCCTTTTACAGATTGTATAGCACTGACATACTGACCCACTTACCAGCTAAACTGTGTTTTTCTGCAGGTACTGCATTGTTACATTAACAAAATTTGGCCACATTTAGTAATTTAAATAAAAAAACAAGTGCTAAACTAAATTTTCGTGGCATTTAGAAAGATGACGCCTCTCTCTGTGGAGTCTGACTACAGCATGTAACAAAGAAAATTACTGGGGTGCACGGAGGAGATGAACTGGGATTTTATGTGAGGACGTTCTTTGGTTTCAGAGTTACGTGTTTGCGTTTGAGGACTAGACTACAAAATGGGGCTGACATCACCTGACATATTGTAAATAAAGCGAGGTGAGACATCTTTCTGGTATGCACACCAGAAAGTCACGCTGCTGGCCCTGTGCAAAGCTGATAAACAATAAAACCTTTCTGTAAGTGCACACTCTTGTGCATCTGTTTCAACGGGAACAATGGTGTTTCCACTGAAGGAGAGAATAATGATAAAAATATACGGAACTTTTTTTTATCTTAAGCTCACTAGTCGGCTTATTTTAACAAGTCACAGATAAATTATGCCTTTTAATTTTAAAAGTAAAGAACATGTGAAGTGCAAACATTAAAAGTTGGAATCCCCTTTTAAGAAAATGCTCTTAAGACTTTATCCTTTTTTTGATTCATTTGTCATTTTGCTTTATTTTGCTGTCACTGTGTTTATTACAAGAACATATTGTATGTTGTTGTGTTAGTAGTTTAAACATAAATGTTGCAAATCACTCGGCGTGTATTTTTATTGTATGAATGTTTATGAAGCATTCACACTATTGTCGTCCATTTTTCTTCAATACGTTTTTCGGCACGATTCTCGTCCCGCACTTTTCAAATTTTGTCAATAACTCATTAATTAAAACATTTAGCTCTTTCTGGACAATACTGGTATGACTTTTGGTATTGGCGCAACGTTAGCTTTTTTAAATATTTAGCCTTTTCTACCAATTTTTTTCTCATAGAAAATGAATTGAGCTCCTTTTACATCCTTCAAATCTTTAGTTCTGTTTGCAACCTTTTACTGCTCCTTTCACATTTTATTCTGGTTCAGCTTCTTTCAGCTTTCTTGTACAAATTAAAACTTTTTTCAGCTACTTTCAGCTAATTTGTGAGCTGTTTTGTGCTCCTTTCGTGATCTTTCTGCCAACTAGAAAAGTTTTTGTGCCTCTTCTAATTTCTTTCTGCTCTTTTCAGCTTATTTATGCAAGTTTAAGCTTTTTCTGCTATTTCAGCCACTATTGATCTGTTTTATGCTATTTTTTTCTTTTTTTTTTTTTAGCGAATGCCATATTTTTCAGAGTCTGAGTCGGCGTTTCTTTGTCATTCGCACCACATGTGGTACATGTGGTGGAGTGAAATTATGTACACAGGGTCCCAGTTACATCCAACAATAAAATGTAAAAGAAAAACAATAATAACATCTAAGATATGAACTAAGAAAAACATCAACTAAATGTACACTAAGCACTCATAACAAAAACATTACGTCAAATATCAGCACAAACATGAACATGAGTCTGTGTGAGCAGATGTGCACGCATGAACACATGAACATTGAAACAGATCAGCAGCAACATGAAACAGATCAGCAGCAACATTGAAACAGATCAGCAGCAACATGTGATTTTTTTTCACTGTGATTATTCTGGTTAGAGATTCATGAGTCTAACGGCCTCAGGGTAGAAGCTGTTCCTCAGTCTAGTGGTTCTACACTTAATGCTCCTTAACCTCCTTCCTGAGGGGAGTGGGGCAAAAAGTGTGTGTGCTGGGTGAGTGGGGTCCTTCATGATGCAGATGGCCCTCTTCCTGCATCTGGAGGTGTAGATGTCTGTGATGGTGGGGAGGCTGATTCCGACAGATTTCTGTGCAGCCTTCACCACTCTCTGCAAAGCTTTTCTTTCTGCAGCTGTGCAGCCTCCATGCCACACATTGATGCTGGAGCACAGGATGCTCTCCACTGCACACCTGTAGAAGGAGGTGAGGACTGAGCTTCCCAGACCAGCTCGTCTCAGCCGTCTGAGGAAGTAGTCTCTGATGAGCTTTCTTGATCAGGCTGGTGGTGTTGTTGCTCCAGCTGAGGTTGTCATTCATGTGTACACCCAAGTACTTGTAGCTGGAGACCATTTCCACCGCAGATCCTCTTATGTTCAGGGGGGTGTAGGTGTTTTTGTTCCTTCTGAAGTCCACAATCATCTCCTTTGTCTTCTTCACATTGATGTGAAGGTTATTCTCTTTGCACCAGCTCTCCAGGTGTTCCACCTCTTGCCTGTAGCTGGACTCATCATTGTTTGTGATGCATCCCACCACCGCTGTATCATCTGCAAACTTTACAATGTGACAGCCTGGGTGGGCAGCTGCACAATCATACGCGTGCAGAGTAAACTGGAGGGGGCTCAACACACATCCCTGAGGAGAGCCAGTGCTGAAGGTTATGGTGGAGGAGGAGAAGTTGTGGATCCTCACTAACTGTGGTCTGTTTTTTAAGAAGTCTAGTACCCAGTTGCAAATGGAGGGACTCAGTCCTAGTGTGAACAGTTTGTCCATCAGGGTTTGGGGGATCATGGTGCTGAAGGCGGATGTGAAGTCCACAAAGAGCATACGGACGTAAGAGTTTTTCTGATCCAGGTGGTTGAGCGCAGTGTGGACCACAGAGGGGATGGCATCCTCTGTTGATTGGTTCTCACGGTATGCATACTGATGAGGGTCCTCGTTGATGTTGATGGTTGTTTTGGTGTGAGTCATGACCAGTTTTTCCAAGCATTAAGCGACTATCGGGGTGAGGGCCACTGGCCAATAGTCATTCAGACCAGTCACTGTAGAGCTTTTTGGGACTGGGATGATTTTTGCACTCATTTCAAATTTTTCCGGCCTAATTCAGAAAAAATATGCTCTCCACTTCCTTCTGATAGTTTCAACTTCTTTTTGATTTTTTAGCTGCTTTTCAGCAGTTTTTTTTTCCTGACAAATTTCAGCATTTTTCAGAGAATTTCCACTTTTTTGTGTTCATTTCTGCTTCTTTCAGCCTAATTGGGCAAATTTGTGTTTTTTTTTCTGGGTTTTTTTCCTGCTAATTTAAGCTTGTGCCACCTTTTCAGCTACCTTTTTTGTTCTTGCATTTGTTAGCTAGTTTCAGCTGTTTTCAGATAAATTCAAGTTTCACATGGTAATTTCTGCTACTTTCCGCCTTAATAACTTCTTTATGCTAATCTTAGCTTGTTATGCTTCTTTCAACTTTTTTCTGTTGCTGCTTTTTCTGCTATTTCAGCTACTATTTAGCTGTTTTTATGCTAATGTTTGCCTTTTCAGCTAATTCCACATTTTTTAGCTCATTTCAGCTCTTTACGCTTCCTTCTGATTAATTTTTTTTCTACCTTTTCACTAACTTTTCAGCAATTTATTTCGAATTTCAGCTTTTTTTTTTTTTTCAAAAACAAATTTGCTAATTTTTTTGCTCATTTCTGCTCATTTGTGCCTAATTCAGCAAAAATATATTCTTTCTGCTTACTTATGCTAATTAGGTCTTGTTCCTTCATTTCAGCTACAATTCAGCAAGATTTTTAGCTAATTTTAGCTGTTTTTCAGCAACTTCTTCTGCATTAGGCATTCACACTGCATTTTTGGAAGTGGTGGCGCAGAGGTTAGAGAAGGTGGGCCTGTGATCGGAAGATTGCTGGTTCAAGCCCCGGTACAGACAACATAAAAAATGTGGGTGGGGTAGGTGAAGCACCCACACCTGCCCCCACCCTTATTCAACCCACCCTGGGCCCATGAGCAAGGCCCTTAACCCCTACCATCTGCTCCCTAAACAGTTCTCTCTTGAAAATGAATTCTTGTGGCTCAGTG